CCCTTAAAATTATTCCCACGTTCTTTCCACAGTTGTCACCAATATACATATTCGTTTTAGGCTTGGTTGCTTATTTCTTTCTCTCTCTCTTGCTCATTGTAAATTAGATGTGCACACAATGTACATATAACTCAGACTCACTTAAGTGCAATGAACCCTGGGCTGTGATGGCAAGAGCTCTGGATAGATTTTGCAGATAGGGCTGGAGTTCTCAGCTCTGCTGTGTGTCTAGCTGTGTGACTTGCCTGAGCTGGTTGGTTGGTGGCAGCTTAAAATTAGAACCTTTCTACGCTGCCCTGCTACTCCTCAGAGTTGTTGTGAGCATTGAATAAGATAACATACACGAAAGCACGTGTAAATGTAAGGTGGTATTATTATGCAGACTGTGATTGACATGATATTTATCTTTCAAATCCCAAACTTGCTTTCAGATGGTTGCTTTTGGGTTCTGAAATGACTTAATCTCTTCCTAGTGTTTCTTAGGCTGCAAGTTGCTAGGATCTGACTTTCTCTTACAGAGGTGATCCAGAGCAAATGGCGACTTGTCTGGGTGAGTTAACACTAGGGAGACACGGGCATGGAGGAAAATTGAAATGGCAGTTTTAACTGTAATCCAATCTTTCCTCTCCCTTGTCTATGTTCATCTCCTCAGGGACCTCCCATCCCCTCAGGCTGGCTTTTAGAACCCAATTCTTTGGACTCTAACCACACTTTTCACACTCCCAGACAGCCTCCTCATTAAACAAGCAAACAAACAAATCCTCTGTTCCATGTCCCATTAGCTTTCAGGTCTTGATGACATATTAAAAAAACAGCTAGTCCCTATTAAGTGTCAATGGCTGAAACTTATTCTTACTCTTCATTTCTCTCTCCAACTCTTTGAGATGATCATTTCACACCTTTCTCTCTTTCCTCAAACCGCCAACACCTACTACAACATCCTTACTCTCAGCTGATGGCCTTACTTCCCATTTCATTAAGAAAATAGAAGCAATCAGCAGAGAACATCCACCAGCTCCCAACACCTCACCTACTCACTTAATTGTATCTATGCCCATATATTCTCTTTCCAATTCTGACTACAGATGAAGTGTCTGTGCTCCTACCTAAGGCCAATCCTTCCACTGGTGTATTAGATCCCATCCCTTCTCGACGACTCATACTCAAAGGCGTGGCTCCAGCAATGCTCCCACCTCTCTAATGCATCATCAAATTTTCCTTCTTTACTAGATCATTCCCATCAGTATACAAACAACCTATAATTTCTCCCATCTTAAGAAACAAAAAAACTCTCTTGACCTTATACCCCACTCCAGCTTTGTCCCATTCTTCTACTCCCCTTTATAGCAGGACTCCTCAAAAGAACTATTTCACCAACTCCACTTCATCATCTTCTAGTCTCTCTCGAACCCACTCGGTTCAGGTTTTCCTGCACCATTCCACCACAACTGTTCTTATAAAGGTCAACAGTAACCTCTGCATTGCTAAATCCAACGGTCAATTCAATTTAGCCCTCATCTCAAAGAATTTTCTCCTGCCTTCCTTGTCTTGGATACCTGGTCACCCTCACTAGCTTGTGAAGTTATCTTTTACTTCTTCTTCTCTCCTTTTACCCAAGCAGTTGCTAAATCTTGTCAGTCCAATAATCCAAACATCTTTCTAATTTATCTTCTCCTTTCTGTCCTTGCTAATCTTGCCAGATCGGCCCTTGTCTGGATGGTAACTGGTCTACCCCACACAGCCCCTGGAATTCTCTTGCTGAAACACAGATGTAATCTACACTGCTCCTCTCATAAACAGCTCTGTCAGTTTTCCACTTGAGGTGGAATAAAGCAAAACCCCCTTAGCATGGTATTCAAGGCCTTTCATCATCTGGCACCATTCTGCCTTCATAGCTATGGCTCCGACTGCTCCTCCCAGCACATCTTATATTCCAGCCACCATTCTCTACATGCGTCCGTCCAGCTATCCCTGCTGGTCCCTCTGCCTGGAGAGCTCTTTTCTACATTTTTTTTCCTGTTTGTCACTTCTTATTATTAAAAACAATTAAAATAATGATGATTTCTGAAAGCTTGTTATATGCCAAGTATTAAATTAAATATTATACATTCTTATCTCATTTAATTCTCAGAAAAATGAAATGACTTCCCCAATGGTTGCTCTAGGATTTAAGATCAGTTCTGATGCCAAAGCTCATGATCTAACAGTATTAGTGAAGTTTTCTCTGACTCATCACAATTAGTTGCTTTCTTCCTCTGTGTTCCAATAGCAGGTTTTTGTTTTTGTTTTTGTTTTAGTTCACTACATAGAAGCAATTTTATTATAGAGATTAAACACACACACTCTGAAGCCAGACTCCCTAGGTTTGATCCTGGATCCGTGGCTTGCCAGCTGTGAGACCCTGTGCCTCAGTCTCCTTGTCTTCAAAATGGGAATGATAATACTACCTACCTCCGGATTGTTGTGAGGATTAAATACATCAACCAACATAGAAGGTTTAGCACAGTGCCTGTTACATAGCTCTGGCTCTGTGGACACATCCTGTCCTGTCTATGTTCTATCTGTCTCTAGACTTTGGCCTCCTGGGAGAAGAGAATCCTTCATTCATTTTCCAGTCCTCCTGCACCCAGCAAGGCAGACTTTTCACTAGAGTGAATGCTCCATAAACGTTTGTCAAACTGAATGTGAAAGTCTGTGGGTGTTTGTGCCAGACAATGTGACATTTACAAGTTCATGATCTATGTTGTGCTTCAACTATCTGCGAGTCTTTTAAAGAAAGTGGTTACTGAAGTCAGGCAGGCCATCCAACAGCTTTGCCCTGTTTTTAAAAATCCAGGTCATTACCACTCTGCTTCTGTGAACAGGAAGGCTTTTTACCTTCAAGCTTTTCCCAAGTTCCCTCCATGGTGAGGCCAAGACTTTCCTTGAGGAGAGGAGGAAAGGGACACCTGACACAAAATTCAAGACTTCTCTGGGACAGCTGGAGGTAGTTAGCTAGAGGTTTCCCTTCCAGTGAGCAGTGACCAGGACGGGAGCTTTGGGTTTCACTTCTAACCATTGGCACTGTGTACCTGCTAAGGATGGAGGATCCAGACCTGAAAGAGGCTGCAAATGCACCGCGGGAGGCCTGGGGCTTCCTGGAAGGGCGCTAGCTCAAATTACATCACATAATTGAACTGCCTTCCTGCTTGTTTATTTACATTGCAAGCCTGCCTCACTAGGCGAGGCTGCAGGAGTGAGGTGGCAGGAAGAGGTTTCAAAGGAGAGTGAAAATGGTAGAAAAGGAAATATTTGATTAGAGGTTAACATGTCCCCTGGGGCTTCTTTGATTTGGATTATTGTAAAAGTGCATAGTGTAATGATTAAGCACTCCCAGGGGGGAGTGGTCTCTGTACAGAGTTGGGGCTTTGTTTCTGATGAGTTGCAGCTGCTGTGTATGAGGCAGACTAAATCAAATGGGGCATGCAAGAGAAGAGGCATGCACAGGACCAGAGCGACTGTGCTAAAATCATCATCTTTACCTAAGCCTGTGCTTTCTCCTGTCCTACACCTCAGCGAACACCTGCAGGTTGCTTAGGTTGTAACTTGGAGTCAGCCTACAATCCTCTCTCTCTGTCACCAGATCCTGTCCACTTTCCCTCCTAAAGGTCTTTCAAATCCATTTCCTTCTCTCTACCTCCATTGGTACTGGCCTCGAGGGTTCAGAGCCTCATCATGTCTTCTTGGATTATATCTTCCTTACAGGTTTCTTGGTCTAGAGCCCTAGGCCTTCCACTCCAGTCTCCATGTTACTGTCAGAGGGATTTTTCTAAATGAGCTTAAAATCCATCAGTGGCTCCCCACGGTCTTCTGGATCAAGTGTTCCCTGGAGCCTGATTGTGAGGCTCTTTGGGTTCTGGTCCTGCTTCTCTGGTTTGTGTCCTGTCAGGTCACCTCCACACCTGTGACCTTCTTTACATCAGTAATCCTGATCTGCATGCAGTTCCCAGAACAGGCAGTATTTGTTCTCAAGCCTTGCAGCCTTCTATGCTTGCTTCTCCTGCCCAGAATTCCCCCCTGCCCCCAGTTTCTCTCCTCCCTTCCTCTTCCTCAGGCTGAATGAAGTTTCCCTCACCTGGGCCCCCATATCTCTCATAACACTTATCACAAATTGTACCCCAGCCCTAACTGAGCAGAATGAATTGCTTACCAGCACCTAGATCTGGCATACAGTAACTGCTCAATAAATATTTGATAAATGATTGAATTAACTCTTGACTAGTTACATCAGGGTTAAATCATAGTTCAAGGAAGGGGCCCTGAAATGCTTGCCTCTGAAAGAAGGAAATACAACAGTTATTGCAATTATGTTGTTAGATTGGTAGAATTTCACATTTAATAAAAGGATTGTGAGGTTTCATGTTTCTTGAAGCTAAAGCGACTAAAGCTTAAAGACCAGTTTAAAGGCCTCTTCTCTAGACGACAAAACATTGTATTTGCCAGCTTTGACAGAACATTGATGGGTTCAGAGAATTATACTCACCAAACAAGTGTTTCCAGAAATGTCATATCTCTGCTTTTAAAATGTCATTCTAAGGCCACAGTTAAACAAATAACTCGCTCAGAAGAGGTGGGAGAGGTGGGCAAGTAAACTATGAAATGAAGTTTGCCTATAAAGGGCTGAGACAAGCACAGGAACTAGTGGCAGTGAGATAACCTGGGGTGACACCAAAGAAATATATACATTAACACAAAGGGAGCCTACTACATAGCAGATTTCCGCTAAATATAAAGGAGACAGCATCTTTCAACACAGACACTAGAAACTACAATGGACCGCCTTGTGAGGTAGTGAGCCTTCTGCCACTCTGAGGCTCTCATTCTCTTCAACCGCTTGCAGGGCGCTGGGCTTGAGCCGAGGCAGGACGACTCCAGTGGAAAGGGGTAGGGCGTCCTTTGGCTCTTTCCAAGGTCGATTCTTTCAAACTTTTTGATCTGTTTCGAGTTCTTTGACCCTTTCGAACCTTTTGATTTGTATCGAGTCCTTTGATTCTTTCGAACCTTTTGATTCTTGCGAACCTTTTGATTCTCGGTTCCAAGCGTTAAAGCACGGCTGGGAAAGCTACAACAAAGATGGGAAGGGAGCTAGTAAGAGGACTCAGAGAAAAAAGGGTGAGCATTTAAGGAGTAAACCATAAAGAAGACACTGAGCGAGTAGAGGAGAAGCGGAGCAAACTCAGAAGAGGAAACGGGGAGGAGAGAAAGAGAGGCAGACGAACCCAAGCGAAGCGAGAGAGTGACCAAACTCGTCCGGGACCGGAGGAAGGCACGGCTGGAGGGAAGCGGCTGCTTTAAGGACGGCCCCGCCCCCGGCGTGACGCCGCAGCAGGCCCGCCCGTGATTGGCTGCGGCTGGAGGGCGGGATGGGGTTGCTAGGAGCGGAGGGGATCCGGCGGACCCCCGCCGCCCGGAGCGCGGAGCCGCGGGAGCGGAGCCGGGGTTAGCGGCGCTGCTGGAAGATGGCGAGCGGCTGGGACGCGCGGCCGCCGCGGCGGCCCGGGCGCCTCCCGCTGCTGCTGTGCCTGCTGCTGCTGCTGCTGCAGAGCCCGGCCCGGGCGGCGCACATCAAGAAGGCGGAGGCGACGACGACGACGACGAGCTCGGGCACCGAGGCGGAGCAGGGCCACTTCGACCGCTACTACCACGAAGAGGAGCTGGGCTCGGCGCTGCGGGAGGCGGCGGCCGCGGGCCCCCCGGGCCTGGCCCGCCTCTTCAGCATCGGCCGCTCGGTGGAG